TTAACTCATTGAAAGAGGTGTAATCTTTCCGACTTTAGAATCCATCCCAAGACCACTCGATTTGGAACTCACTTCGAAGGATATCTTATGAATGTACATCGGGTCATTGCCAAATAGTGTCTGTATTAAAATTTCAAAAATCTGTTTTGGATTATTGAACACCATTGTAAGTACATTTCACTTTAGTCTCCTAGTTCTCATACAATTGAAGAATAAAAAATAACATTCTAATATGTTTCCCCATTTGGGTCTTTTGTACCTAAATATACCAATAAATTGGACTCCTCCAATTTCCTGCTATTAGGGTTCTTCACAACCCCAGTGTTGTTTACCAATTTTGGACCCTGCAAAATCCCCGTAGACTTGGATTTACTCAACCTTGCAATATTAATCTGCCTACCCAATCCCACCCTCCAAAACACATGATTACTGCCTGAATCGGACGGTGGAATTTGAGTCTCCCTAGAACTGCCAATTGACTTTGACCTCGTAATTCGATTAACAATCTTATGGTTTCCTGAATCTACACCCGTTGCATAGGATACTTTCCCATTTCTCCTGCTGCCCACGCGACAAGTCTTCATCATTTCCGTACTCTCATCCAGCAGTTCGTATCTAACCACGCGTGACGATTCTCCCACACGTCCCACGCGCCGCCCGAAATTGTTCCAAATTTGTATGTTCACCGCCTTCAACCTTTTGTACGCACTATTTAAACACTCCACCACCTCCGCCATCCCCGGCCTCTTTGCCGCAGTGGACCTCACACATCGGGCTGCCACCACCGCTATTAGCCGCAGCGCTTCAGCGTCTTCGAGCGGCCCTATCCGCGGATCACATATCCCGGATAAGTCACCGGACTTAATCGTCGGAACCGCCCAGTCAACCACAGACGATGGACTGTAATTCATGTCGATAGCATTTCGGCCACTTATAATTTCCAGCAATAAAATTCCGAAGCTGAAAACATCAGATTTCGCGCTGAGGTCGCCCGGAGCAAGATAGCCAGGATCGAGATATCCTAAAGTTCCAGCCGGCGGCGTACACCTTACCTTCACATCCTCCACGTGTCCTCTCAGAGACAACCCGAAGTCGCTGAGCCGAGCACTGAAATTCGAGTCGATCAAAATGTTGGAAGATTTTATATCCCGATGAATAACCGGCGGGTTTGATGCGTGCAAAAACTGAACCGCCCGCGCAATTTGCGCAACGAATCTAACTCGTTTAACCCAACCCGGGGGTTTACCTGAACCATGGAGCATCTCGTATAACGTGCCATTTGGCATGTACTCCACGACGATCAATTTCCGATGATCAGGATCATTAGCAAAACCAAGCAAGTTCACAATCCGAGGGTGATAAACCTGGGATAGAATTTCAACCTCATTGTCGGCAGGACTGGTTGCAGCTTCGTGCTGTATTTGGTTAGTCTTCTTAACGGCGGCGATGAGCTTATTCTGGTGAAGATGGAGTTTGTAAACAGAGCCATGACTGCCTTTGCCAAGTAGATTGTGATCGGAGAAACCATTTGTAGCTGAATGAAGTTGAAAGAAATCAAATTCTTCGATCTTATAGGGTCTTCTGATTTGCTTTTTTCTGGGTTTTCTAGTCAATAACTCACAATCCAATGAATTGCAAGTAGCAATAGCAGATTCTGCATTGCATGAAAGATAACCCATGAAGAGAAATTCAGAGAGGAGTAGTGTAAAGTTAATACAGCAAATTGATATGCAAAGACAAAGTCCATAACTCAAAATTAAAGCGAATGGTTGGGCGAAGTTAAAGATATAAAGTGAAGGCAAAGAGGTTAACTTTCTACAGCATTCTTGAGATTTGAGCGGTGGGTGGGTGGGTGAAGGCGAAATCCAAGAAGAGAGGTTTGGAATATTGAATTTGAGAGGTGAGAGTGGGCAGTTAGTTTGACAAAGGCGTGCAGGGGCGATTTAATAGATGGGGTCAACATGCCCCCCACAATCTTGGACAAATCTCATCTTTTTCTTTAAACAGCATTTTCATGATACAGATATGAATATGTGTACATAGCCATTGGTTCCTGCAAGTCTTTTCAAATAATTGTTTGGATGATGCTTAGCATGGCAAATGGATTGAGTAGTTCGTAAGCTCAATGAGTCAATTCATCCTGAATCGATTCATGGATGGTTCGAACTTTCTTTTTAAAATATCACGGATTGAGCTGGATAAACTTTTTTCCATAAGCCTGCTCGTTTTAGGCCGAATCATTCCAGGGCTTGTTTAATTAATTTCTTTATTAGTCAAGTTATAGGCTTATGGATGGCTCAACTCGACCTATGTGACCCATGACTCAAATGATCGAATCGAGCCTAATTTGTGAACACGAGCCGGAGTTGACTAATGTAGTAGAGGATGAGCTTCATACCAAGATGATAACTTCGATGTCATATTAGAATGTGTCAAATCAAGAATTCACAAAAGTCAAACATGACACCGTGACAATAACCTAGAACTCATCATCAAGTTGTTGGTATCTCTTATAACGCTATGATTCAAAAAGTTCTTAGCCCATGTTTGAGACACGTTAAAATTTTTATTCTATTATTTTACTCATTTTCAAGCACACATTTTTCGATAAAATAATATTTTTCATCACATCAATAACATTTCATTCTTTTTCAATCACACATTCTCCATCAATCTATTATTCCAAAATAATGTGGCTCAAACACACCCTTAATACGAGAATAAAATGTCCTACACTTCAACTTGAATTTGGTTAGAATTTCTTGAATGTGACTAAACTTGTTAAATAATACACGTTTTTTCGCTCTAAAATATTATTAAGATTTAATAATTCACTTATCTTGCAGAAGGTATCAATCACTTCTCTAAGAAAATTATCTGACTATCCACTTAACGTAAGATATTCCTTTTTAGATACTAATCTTGTAACGAAATATAAGAAACTATCTTCATGGTCAACCAAATTAAATTCATGATTATTTTTTTTCAGTTGTTGAGCTCAATTTGACACAATACAAGTTCTCACACAAATTCAAGGGTTTGTCTTTCATATTAAAATATTGTCAATGGTTATTTGATATCTAACTTTTAATTAGGAATTTACACTTTAAGCCCCCGTTTGGTACATATTAAAATTTTCATTATCATTATTCTACTCATTTTCAACAACACGTTTTTCAATAAAATAATATTTTTCATCACATCAATAACTTTTCTTTCTTTTTCAACCACACATTCTCCATCAATCTACTTTCTCAAAATACATTCTTCCAAAATAATGTAGCTCAAACACACCCGAAACAAAGAATGTCATCTTGTTTCTTTTTTCAAAAGATTCTACCTGCAAGGATTGACTTCTTTCTAACAACTACCATTTGAATTTTTATGCAGAGTTTTGAATTTTAAACGGCGCCGAATTGCCAAAACCATGAAATTCAAATTATGCTGAAATTAGACTTTTGTGGATGTTGAAGACATAAAATATTCAAGAAATGGTGGCAAAAAGTTGGTGTTCGAAAATTTTCACTCGAATTCTATAGTGACTCATTGGGGATGACATGAAAAGTCAAAATAGGAAAAAGTGGACCGACCACGTTGAAAAATATAGGCAAACTATTGGAAATTTGAAATTATTCAATCTCGGCTTAATTTTAGGAATTTGGAAGACAGCAACAAACATATTATTAAATTCAAAGTTGGTCGCAGAAAAAACTTTACGGCCTGTTTCAAGATTATAAAAAACGAGTTTATTTGTCAATCTAAAAACCTGTTTTATAAAACAGAAAATTGAAAAACACGTTTTATTTTAAATACGTTGTGTTCAATAAATTTGATTATTCAGTAATTTTAAGTGTGTTCCACCCGAGCAAACGTGTATATGCTATTACATTATCAAGTAATATATACATTTTAAAGTAGGTTAATCTTACAAAAAAAACTTCCTTGCGACAAAAATAAAATACAAACAAAAAATAAATAAACTTGACAAAAAATAGAATAAAAAAATTGTGACATGAAATCATATTTACATAATGTGATTGTAAATGATAAGATTGCCATAAATAGTTCAAAAGACTTAAATACTAAGAGTAGAAATAAACACAATTGAAAAATTAAAATGAAAGTATCTCCAAAATACTCTTTAAACATGAGATGTTTTCTATTTTAAAGAGTCAACAATTAAAATCATGGTTTAAGAGACTCTTTGAATTAATATTTTAAGAGCATCTCTAAGAGACTCTTTAAACATGAGGTACTCTATATTTTAAAGACTCGATATTTAAAATCATACTCCAAGAGATTCTTTAGATTAACATTTTAATTTAAAGAATGAGTTTGACTCTACAAATTTGGAGAGCAAAACTCACTCTCTATAATTAAATGCATTCAAAGTATTTCAATTTCAATTTTTAATGTAGGAAAATAATAAAATAATTTAAAGAAAAGCTAATTAAAATAAAATATAAAGAAAAATAATAAATATTTATTAGGAGTAGTAAAATCAAGTGTTACATATAAAGAATTGTTGAAGTACTTCAAAATTTTAACTCTCTAAATTTATAGATGCACTCTAAATGATAGAATATACTCTTTGAAAATAAATAGTCTTTTGGAGATATTCTAATTTAGAGAGTGGGTTTGACTCTTTAAATTTGGAGAGCCAAACTCACTCTCTATAATTAAATGAATTCAAAGTATTTTAATTTTCAATATAGGAAAACAATAAAATAATCTAAAAAAAACTAGTTAAAATAAAAAATAAACAAAAATAATAAATATTTTTTGTGAGTAATAAAATTAAGTGTTAAATATAAAGAGATTCTTGGAGTACTTCAAAATTTTAATTCTTTAAATTTATAGATGCTCTTTAAAAATAGAAAATCTATTGGAGATACTCTGATAAAATAAACATATAAACTTTACTTTTGAGGTATAGTATCTTAAGTTTCGCATTCATCATATAAATTATAGATGACCAATATTTTTCATCTTTAACAATCATGGGCTCCTTATGTCTGGCATTTGTTAGGTATCGTATCATGGATAGTTGCTCATGATCATTGAAGTTCATCATCCATTTTTAACACGTACAAACTCACTTTCTATAATTAAATGAATTCAAAGTGTTTCAATTTTCAATATAGGAAAATAATAAAATAATCTAAAAAAAACTAGTTAAAATAAAAGATAAACAAAAATAATAATTTTTTTTGGGAGTAGTAAAATTAAGTATTAAATATAAAGAGCTTGTTAGAGTGTTTCAAAATTTTAACTTTTTAAATTTATAGATATTCTTTAAAAATAGAGAATCTATTGGAGATGCTCTGATAAAATAAATCTATAAACTTTACTTTTTAGGTATAGTATCCTAAGTTTCGCATTCATTATATAAATTATAGATGACCAATAACATGCCTCCAATTTTTCATCTTTAATAATCATGGGATCCTTATGTCTGGCCATGTCGTATCATCCTATCAACGAGTACTAGTAACTTCATCATCATCCATTTTTAACACGTACAAACTCATTCTCTATAATTAAATGAATTCAAAGTGTTTCAATTTTCAATATAAGTTAGAATTCACTAAGCTGCTGGTGGCAAAGGCACGACCTGATTGTTTGGAAATTGGAATCATTCTGTTAAGCCAGCTCATTGTAATTTGTTAGAGTTAGCTCAATTCTAGAATCTTCTCACTACCAAATAATTGTATATAAAATGGTATGTTTGTAACGATCAATTAACAAGGAGAATTGTATATTCATCTTTCTCAGTTTTCTAATTTGGAGAGTCTCATGGCTAACACCGGATCCTGAAATCAGTCCAATCCATCATAATTCAATACAGCTCCAGCTACTCAAGCTACTGCTGGCCAGAACTTGGCATATGGAATGAATATTACTCAAACAGCCTCAGTTAAACTCAACAAGAATAACTTTCTACTATGGAAGAACATAATTATGCCCATAATCAAAGGGCATAACGTTGAAGGATTTCTATTGGGGACAAATGAGTGTCCAACTGAGTTTCTAGCAACCCAAACTACAGTCAGCCAGGGAGAAGCAATCGAAATGATCCAAAACCTAGAGTTTCTGAAGTGGAACTCAGCTGATCAGCTTCTTATGGGATGGTTGTATTCTTACATGACTCCAGAAATCGCCATGAAGGTGATGGGTTGCACTAGTTCGAATAAACTCTAGGTAGCAGTGGAGGAAAGCTTTGGAATACTCAACAGATCTCGTGTAATGTTTCTAATTGGTGAGCTGCAAAGAACTAGAAAAGGATCAATGACAATAGATCAGTACTTAACAACTATCAAACAGTTGGCGGACAATCTGGAAATAACTGGTAAGGTCATTGATCAAAGTGACTTAATTACACAAGTATTATCATGATTAGATGATGAATATACCCCAATAGTGGTTCAGATAAGTAGCAAAGAGAAAATCTCCTGGTATGAATTATCTTCAGTACTGATGACCTTCGAAAGTCGACTTGAACATTTGAGTCAAGTGAAGAACAATTTCACACCACTTAATGTTAATCAGTCCAGTGTTCAGTTAACACATTGAATTGGCCCAAATTTTGGAATAGGCTTTAGAGGTAGGTCACCAAACTTTAGATGTAGAATAAGAGGTAGAGGTAGGACTACATTTGGCAGGCAAACTGAAGCCAGAG